AGAGAGAGAGAGAGAGAGAGATAGACAGGGGGGATAGAGAGAGAGATTGAGAGGGGGGAGGGGGTCAATGTAATTTGTAAGTCGAACAGTTCTGTTTTTCAGCTTATGCTAGCCCGTCTGATTATGCTGGGGGTTATTTTTAAAGAGAGCGCCTTGTGCGCAGCACCGCTGTTTTTAACAGTCAGAAAGCAAACTCACGGGAAAGTTAGGGCAGGGAGCAAAAAATAAAAAACCCATAAAAAACAAACAAACAAACAAAGCACAACAAAAAATACAAACTTTTATCACAATCATGACCGGTGAAGCCTGGCATGCAAAGACACAGATGACCAGAGGTCGAGGGATCCGCTACACACTGACCCCGACCGTTGCATGGGTCTCCAGCACATGGATCTAAATCTAGGGAGAGATTGTGGAATAGTATAGGAATTACGCCCCTTTAAAAAAAAAAAGTCAGGTTGATAGGTTGTCGAAAACTTCAGTATAACATCTATTCCGATGAGAGTCAGAGTAGTCCATGGGGAGCTGTGGGAATTTGAAAACAATAAAATCTCAACGCCTCTTCTCTAATACGGGGTGCCCACTACGGCTGGGATCGGCCGATCGGGCCGATCGCCCGACTCGATCGGCCCGGTCCATCCAGAGTGGGCACCCCGTATAAGGATTTTTGTCAGGATCTCCCAACATCGTGTGCTGGCATGATACGCACTGAGCGAACATACCTCAAGTGAGAAGAGAATCAAACTATCAAGTGTGTGTTAACGAATGTAGATATCATAATGTTTTACAGCAATATCGACACGATTTAACCCTATCCATACGACGTGGGGAACTCTGTGCCACCACTTTCCAAAGAGGAATTAATTTACTCGTTAATCCGATCCGTACGCTTTGCATAGCAGTCTGTCAAAATGATTTTTTTGAGAAATACTGAAAGTTTCAAAGAGATATTCTTACTAGAAATATTCTAAAATGTAAAGAATGCAACCCTGTGGGTACAAAATGGCGTACGGATAAGGTTAAATAAATGATTTAATTTCGTTGTGGGCTGCATCAACTTTGCCTGTCAGAATCTACCCTGGCAAAATGCGTAACCACGTCCCACCACACAGACTGAGATACGCCAAGAGATATAACTGTGTCAGTATGTTGGTGTTTGAGCACCTGTAATCCGTAGCCAGAACTGTATGCTTCCCGAGAAGCTGAGAATTTTTCTGAGTGCTTTAAGGTTGGCTTGGGTAATAATTCATATAGTTGTAAAACGCATAGAGCATGCCGAAGAGCGTGGATAAGCGCTGTATAAAT